CAGCCCCAATATATGATAAGTCTAACCCTTTTAGGGGTCCACCTCAGTTAACTGTTCAAAAACCATTACGCATGACTACAGTCATGAAGGCTTTTGCCCAAGCCAACCAGGAAGGAGATTTGGATGCTTGTAAGGCTTTTGCTGTGTACCCAGTTACAGTTACTGAGCTACCAGGTGATCAGGAAAATCCCCAAGGTTATGTTCGGTATAATCATGTTCCATTATCTTTGAAAACTATTAAAGAATTGAAGCAGGCTTGTGTTTCTTTTTTTTTAATTTTTATTTTAAAGAGTAAAAAGGAAAACAAAGCAGTAGGGGGTACACCGAATTACAGACAAAGTAGTAGGACATTGTCAATGGTTGTTATTTTACCTATTGGTATCTTCAAGATAGTTTCTCAGGAAAATAAATAGACAAGTAATAGTGAGTTACAGACAGAAATGGCAGGAAATCATCAATGGTTGTTGTACTATACCCTGGTTTCTCCAAAGTGGTCTCTAGGGAAAACAAATAGAGCTATACATGAGTGATCAATCAAATAATCATTGACTATTCTCAGTGGTTGTTGTTGCAAACACATAGTAACAAACATGCATCCATTTACAAAATAGGAGCAATACAAACATTACAGAGTTATGGACAGATTGGTAGGAAATCATTAATGGCTGCTGCAATACATGTTGGCATCCTCAAAGTGGTTTCTCAGGAAAACAAAGATATGCAAGAAAGATCCAATAAGTAGTTACAGTCCAAGGGTTGTGAAAAATAGTGGGTTACCTCATCAGTGACTCCGCTCACTGAGAAGCTTGTGTTTCATATGGAGTGAATTCTTCTTATACTTCTGGGTTGATTTCAGGACTAGCTCAATCTGACCGTTTAATTCCATGGGATTGGCAAATGGATGCACAGTTCTCAGTCCAGCTGAATTCCTTCAATTTAAAACTTGGTGGAGAGTTGAGGCAGAATTAATAGTCCGCAGTAACGCCCGTCCCTATTTCTGTGGACCAACTCATGGGCTCTGGTGATTGGTTTGGTATCAATCAACAGGTAGAATATGATGATAATGCAATTGTCCAAACAAAATTGTATTGTCTCCAAGCATGGGAAAAGATTGCTTCTCCTGGCCAAACTGTTCCCTCTGTGGTTCAAGTCATTCAAGGTGCTAACAAACCGTATGTAGAATTTATAGCTAGACTAAAAGAAGTACTTAAAAAAACAGTGTCACAACCTACATTGAGAGAATTATTATTAAAATTTTTATCTTATGATAATGTTAATTCATATGCAGAAAGGTTCTAGTCACCGACAACTTCTGACAGTTGCTAGCTAGACTGATAACTGACCACTGTTATGGACTTTGGACTATATTCTTATTTTTCCAAACATCTACTGTCATTTTACATGGTATTATAATTGTACTTTGCCTGATCCTCTTAGTCTAGCAAAGTTCATCCAGAAAACGCCGGAAGAAACAGGAAGACAGTTGGCAACCTTCTCACTGATGCTTCAAAGGATTGCAGCAAAACAAAAAGGGGGAAATGTGGAGAAGGACATTCTTTGATTAGAAAGCACTGAGGACATACAGTGATTGATTTATTGTTGCAAAAAATGAACTGAAACCTTTCACCTGAAGATAAGAGTGTATTTGAATTGCAGGAGATCCCTATTTTTTAGTCTTGCCATGCACTGTAAAAATTAATGGGAAGTAAGCACTGTGATTATAGTGGACTGATAACTGGTGGTCAACTTACAACCCCAGCTTAACTGAGTAAGCGTGGTGCTGGATGTGGGAGGCCCACCAGGTGATTGTTGCCAGCAGCATAAGAGGCAGAACTGGAGAAGGATAATGCTTTAATTACTAAAACGTTTGGTATCCGCCCATTTGTAGTAGCTACGCCCTTGGTTCTCACTCAATAAAAGATGACTGAGATTGGTAATCGGGACTGCAGTCCAAGGGGCTGTATGCCCCCTGATCCCAGACTTTTGCTTCCCTTGTTTTTCTTGTCTTGCTTTTCTTGTCATGTGTGGGCACCTCATTCTTGGGACCTGTCACCCCGGATAAAACGACAGTTAGGGATGTAGCCTAGTGGGAAGGTACAGGGTTCAATACCCAGTACAAAAAAAAAAAAAAAAAAGAGTACTGGGTTGGGGTTCAGTGATACAGTGCTTACCTTGCATGTTCTAGCCCCTGTTCAATCCCCAATACTGAAAGAAAAAAGCCTTGTAGAAAGATGTGGAGTGTATCATTTATGATACAGACATGCAAAATCATGTCATGTTTTTTATTTGTGAAGACAATTATATGAACTAAAACTATGTCCAACTCATGGCTCTGGACAGCTAGTAATGTGGCTCCACAAGATTGTAAACTTTTAACATTATGACGTGATTGTGAACTGCTCAAGAACTATGTAGGTGCTGAAGTAGTGGAGGGTACAACACAGTGCTACCTCTGCCCACTGTCCCCGTCACCAGTCAGTGGCATCAGAACCAGGAAACCTGTGTGTACCAGGTGTTCCATGAACTGTGCAAACTGGCCAGTCAAGGGCAGCAGTTCCACATACCTGCACGTGCCGTATGCCTGTGAAGACAGTATTTATTATTATTAAGCAGACATGCACATCCGCTCATTTAATTATCGATGCTCCTTCGTAGTCACTCCCGTATTGCACTGTGCGTGCAGCGCAGTGTTCTGTCAGGCTGCTTAGCTTTTCTCCCACACACGTTGAGCATCCTTTATCTGAAAGTTCAAAATCTGAGATATTCCAATATCTGAAACTTTTTGAGCGACAACATGATGCCAGAAGTGCATAATTCTACACAACTCAGGTGATGGGTAATAGTTAAAACTCAGGTGCACTAAAAATATAAAGCCAGGAGTAGTGGTGTGTGCTAAGCAGCTGCTGCTGAGGCAGGAAACTCACTTGAGCTGAGGAGTTCAAGGCCAGCCTAGGGAATGTAGTGCAATTCCATCTAGTATAGTATGTGTGTATATATATA